GCGGGATAAGAGAAAACATATTTTGGCAAGAACGAGTAGATACTGTCAGATATTGCATTCTATCTTTATTTCAATGCGCTTTTCCTATCCTTTTATTCATAATAAATAGAGAGTGCATATTAGAAAAGTAACCGGAGAAATGAAAAGACGCATAAACTGTTTACAATTTAATAAAATAGCAAAGTTTAATATTATCATATAATTAAATGAAATTATTTGATTAAATAATTTAACTAAAAGTAAATATTATTTAATTAAACTTATAAACTGGAAACAGTATAGAACAAGCGTGCATAAAGTTAAGAGTGAACATTTATTCTACTTCTCCCTCTTCATTCCGCCGTATCATGTTTTGTTTACGATCTAACAATTCCTCAAGAACATTATTAATATTTACACCATACCTAGAATTACCGATAAAAATCCTACCCTTACTTTGTATTTTATTAATTTAAGAAATTCTGGATTATTTTTCACTGGCGAGAAATGTTTGCATTACTAAAATAAGTCATTTAATTAATATAATTTTAGAAGCTACGAGGCCGAGCGTGTTTAATGCTACTTGTTTCCAAGAAAAAACTTTTTGTCTTGTTTTCCGTCTTCGAAATTTACTAAAATCCGTTTGGCAATGATTTTTCCATAATCATATCAGACATAATCCTTTTACAAAATATAATTTTGAGTTAAAATTCTTTCGTAAAACATTTATAAAGCAAAAATATTTTCTCAAAAATAAAATTTAATTAAGGAAAAACATGCAGATAAATTAGAAATTAATGTCAGATGAAAGCTAAGTATATTTCGTGTATACGTCTAATGTTTTACTTTTATAGGCTAATTAGATTTTCTTAAACTTTGTTTCATATAAAAGGAAATTAGAATATGAGATTTGTTGATTGACTAGACGACTTTGTTTTCTAAGAATTTATATCACGTATCGTTTATCTTATTTTTTGATAATGGAGTGGAAATATTTATTTCTCGTGCAGATTAACATCGAGGGATGTTCATCGTGTAAATTACTGATGACAATCTCTAAGATGTGTATTCTTCGTCGTCGAGTTATAAGAAACTAAGAATTTTATACGTTTTTTTTTATCCGTTCTCGTAGATTTAATTATAAGAAACGCATTCCAGTTATAGAATAACGACTATTTATAGGCTATACTTTGATCAACGTGAAGCCAATGTACGGAGTTTTAAAAAATATGTCAAAATTAATTCCGTAATGTGCAGATCATGCGTAAAAATGCTCGTTTAGACCCTAATAAATCATTAATATCATTAGAAAATGCATCATTAGTTTAATGGTTATGGTAAATCATTTTAAATAAATTCCGTGAATAATTGGTTGCAAGATTTTTTCCGCCAATGACGAGCATAAACTAATGTCATTAATCACGACTAAAATTAAGAAATTTGCCATGGATTAAATGGAAAACAAACGCTATGCTCGTTCTCTCTTTTATCTTTGACGGGAAAAAGAAAAGGAGAAAAAAGCTCGAGTGTGACTATCGTAACGACGGTAGTTGAGCGGAGAGAAGAGCAATTTCAATAGCCTACAACGGATAGTGCATAATCAAGAACAGGATGCGTTGCCAATTACCCTCATTAGGAAAAATTATCTTAATATATTTAGCCGATTTATGTTATAGAAACGCCAGTATATTATTATAAATCAGATTCTTTCGGGCGCGATTAGCATAATACGCTAATATCTAAGGCGACTCTACGTAACGAGATAATGCGATCAATATATACAGTATTCGAGAGTGAATTTATTACGTTTAAAAATATTAAAATTTGATTTATTATTATTTAAATAAAAGATAATTATAATTTTCCCGAGCGTTGTATCGAGTAAGCTCTGGAGGGACAATTTCTCTTGACAATTGCCAGATACAATTTTACATGTTAGAATTTCTATCTTAACTTGCATAAACTATTGTTCCACGCATCCCGGGATTAAACATCGAGAGACAACCAACGTTTGATTTACCACGACATTTAATCCAAAGAGAGAAAATTAAAATCCTTCCAGTCGGTGGAATTGTTACATCGCCGACGTAAAGGTTTATTTAATAATTTTACAGGTTCCGCTCCACCGAACACGCGAATGCAGACCTACTGTTTCGAGTTCGGCACATTTTATTACTTTTCTGCTTAATTATTGTTACCGAATACATATTAATACACCGAGCGAAAAGTTTAGAATAATGCAAACTCGCTAATAATAAAATTATATAAACTGATATAAATCGGTTTTAATTTTATTATTAGTATCGATGATAAATCGAAGAGGTCATTGTTGTTCTTATTACCATAGCAACAAGCATATCATTTGGTATTGTAATATCTATTGGAGGGTGAAGTGGGAGATAAAATTGCTTTTACAATGTCTAATGTTTATTAATCCGCACGACAAATTCTTTGTTTAGAACTTCGCTCGATTTGTCTTGTCTTAAACGAAATATAAAGTTTGGAGATTGAGATTTTACTATAGATCCGGCTATAAATAGCGACTGCACATTGGGGAATGAATGAATGAATGAATGAATGGCCAGCGCAGTTTTATGCACGACCTGTCATTGATTGGTGGCTCCCTCTAGTCCCAACTCGTGTTATTAATTCCCGCGTAACGTGTCTCGATCGGGGAATGTAATTTTGAATTAAAGTAATTTCAAAAGTTTGTTTATAAATGGTAGGATCGCGATGATTAACGTTCCCCGGTGAGCGGCGATGAATCATGAATCCTATCCTCCGGTTTCTATGAATCATCATCACATGGTTATGTCACGTATTGTATTGAACTGGTAACCGCTTCGACGTAATTGTCCACTTTAAATTACATTTTTGCAGCTTAATGAATTTAATAAAGCATTAAAATAATATTTTGTAAAGTGCAATTAAATGCGCAAGTGTTTACAATCTAAATTACTAATTGGAAGAAGCATTCCCTATAAAATTTATAAAAGTGTGAAAAAGAGTACTTTATTATGTTGTTATAGCAACAACATAATAAAGTACTCTTTTTCACACTTTACCATTTTATTGCAGTAAAAAGCATTATTATTTATTGTTCGAGCTTTTTCTACATGTCTAAATATTATTCTTTGCCAGTCTGTCCTAGTTCTCATCTCAAAGGACTCCTTCATTCATTATGTTCAGTATCCCATCTATTCATCTTCTTGGCTTTTCTCCTTTTTCTTGCTGGTTCCCATTCTCATATTCTTAGCCAATCATACTTCATACCTTTTCATACCACAAAGTCTATTATTAATTCTTTGAAGCATCAATGATTTTAAAGTACACTTAAGTAAAGTATTAATTACTGTTTAACCTCGTATTCAAAATAAAATGTTTCATCTCAAACCTTATAAAATATATTTTTGTATATATTGAGCATGGTGTCTATTTGGTCTGGATTGTGTTTATGTTTTGACATGTTTAGCTGAAATTCAAAGCCTTATAATTAAAAATATTAATGTAGAGTGAACTGATTTAATTTATTTTGTTTATTTTACTTTATAAGTAACGAATTCTGTCATGAAATGCATCATTTACAGTGCTCATAATACAATGATTCATTCTAGTAAGACAGATGTTCTCATTGTAAATTTAAAATTTTAACAAATTTATTAAAAATATAATTGAATCAGACATTATGTTTTCATTGATTTTACACTGTAATAGAGAAGCATCTTATAGAAAATTCTAAAAAAACATTTTATGTAATCTACTTATCAATAAATCTGTTTGTTCAAAGAAAACACAACCTCAAAATAAAAACTTTGGTTTCTAGCAGTAAAAATGCTATAGGAAAATTAGATAAAGATGCTCATAACCTATTTGCTTGCTTAGTTTTTCTTTGTGTCATGCTTCAGTTTAGTTGGACACATCTAGTTACATAAAATGTAATTTTGCTGACAAATTAATGCAACATACATCTGTAAATGTTAGATTATAATTATATAGATATATATTTGTATTATGTATAGATTATAATTATATAGATATATTATCACAATTCAATGTTATAATATGTTATATTAGAACATTACATTGTTGAAATTGCAATGAAAAATATTGTATAAAATGAACCAAAGAAAGTATAATTCTAGGAATCATCATTTCTTTGAATGATTGGGGCTATATAGAGGTTGTACTGAAACTGTGTGCCAATATTTTAATAGATTCTAGGATCAAACATAATCTTGAAATCCTCTGTGAATATTTTTCAAATACTGCTTCATTTTCTGATAGCTTGTTTGAATTTGAGATTCATAATAAGAATTATTAGAAATCTCAAATTCAAATTACTAGAAAAAAAGGCAAGGCATAAGGATCTGTTTTCACATATTTTATAACATAACTAATAGGTAATATATGAATATACTAAAAATAAGCAGTTAGTAGTATCAAAAGATAAAGGTGTAACTGGTTATTTATTTTGGTTATCCTTTTTCTCAGATGATCAGAAAATATTCATTGGCATTCACTTGATGCAGAACTGATTAAACTAAAGAATAAAATAAGTACTAAAAAAGTCTAAAACATAAAAATAAGCGGTTCTGTATGGTTTCATCCTATATATTTTAATTTATTCATATTAAATTAGTACCATATGTATATGGTACTAATCTGTATATATGTAAATTAGTAACATCTGATAATAGAATGCTACTGTTCTATATACTATAACTGCATTAATGTTATAAAAACAATTTGTAAAAAATTATATAATTTATCTATATAGAAAAATTTGATACTTGATAAATTTAGATCCAGTCTGAAAAGCTGAAATTATAATTATGATTTAATCTAAATCTTTCAATTTAGAAAGATTTAGATTTAATCATATGTTAACAACATTCTTTACTATAACATCAAAAATCAAGAGAAAATTATTTTTATAATCTGAAAATAATTAACTGTAAAAGCACACATTTAAACATCTTAATTTGTTTTTCTTAGTATCTAATGTTCTGTAATATTTCTAGGTTCCTGTTGGAGTGAAAGATTGTGTGTATATCATAAAGATGCTAGTGTGAAATATTCTGCATTAGAAAATTCTGATGACGATGAGGAAAAAGATGGATCTATGTCAATAGAATTATCTAATACCAATAATACTCAGTTATGTTCAGATTCCACAATATACTGTTATGCCCTGTGGACAGAAAATGCACAGAATAAGACCTTTATAATGACACAAGGTAAATAGAGATTTTCTAGTTTCCTACATTTTTATTGTTAAGTAAATTAAAGTAATGTTTTGTTATTTTAGGTTAAAATGTTATAATTTATTATTATTTTTAATTACATTATCTTGTTATTGCTATCCTAATATATCTTAATCTGTTGTCCTTCAAATTTTTATTTTGAATTAATAAAATATTTTTAAAAGTTCTTTTAAGCATGCCTTTCTGATTTATTAAAATTATTATTAAATTTTGCTGGTGAAAATTGTTTTAATCACAGACAACTTGTTATAGAAGTCACAAATATGTTTTCTTTAAATATTTTTTAGAATATTTCTCTTATCAATGATAGTTTTAATACACAAAAATTATAGATTTCAGTTAATTCAAAATTTTATAAATTATTGTTTGATTATATTTTTTTTACTAAAAGATTTTTTAATATTAATGAACTCTAACCAATTATTTTTTGTGGCAATGTCTTAACAAAAATCTAGGAAAAAATTACAGTGCATGCTTGTAATCCAAACTAATTGTTGTACAGGGTTGTTCAGATTAGTGAAAAGTTTGGAGTAGTGGGATTTTATATATAAAAATAGGAGTTTAAATGGACTGAAGACAAATACATATATTTTAAAAATGGTACATATATTTGTATTAAAATGTGTAGTACATATTAATTTTATAAATTTTCTATACTTTAAAATATAATCTATGATTGCTTTTAGTTCTTTGCTGGAATATCAAGCAGAAAGCAAACAAAATTAGTTCAGATTATACAGAATTCAGATTAGTGAGAGTGCAGTGTACTTACTTTGAGATACTAGATAAAAACAGTTTGTTTCACATTACACAGGATGCTGGAGTAACATGCAAGATGATTGTGGACAATCTGAATGTCGTGCCAGCAAAAGATTTTCAAAATCTTCAAATATCACCAAATTCTGTTGCTGTTCTGGAAATTTCTGTAATGCAAATATTTCTGATACAGATGATGTACCATTTTCAGATGAATCTGATGATGTGCAATCAGGTCGGTAAAATTGTAGTCGTATTTATTTAATCTGATAAATAACAAATTTATTTTAATTCTGAATATTTATATTTACAAAAATATTAAAGAAATAAACTTTGTTTCTGATAAAGTTATCAATTAATCTTGATTTGTAATCACATTGTTGTTTGTTTTAGGGAAAGTTAAATCTGTTTTATAACAGGAATATTTTTTATTTATCAACATTTTGAAGTTTTATTGAATTAGAAAAAATTAATTTAATATTTACAGATTTATCTCAAAGGATAAACTGTAAATTATTTTAAATTTTTTTTACAGCTCTGCAGTTTGTTGAACAAGCTAGTTACAATACAAAAACAGTTATTATTGTGTTATCAACAATATTTACAGCAGTGATATTAGGCATCCTAGCTTGTCTTATCGTGAGGTGTTGGCATACAACACAAAAGCCTAGTCCTGATTCAATTCATCTAATGGAAGCTCCACCTCCTACCACTCCAATATTCGATCTTGACAGTCTAAAGATTCAAGATATTATTGGTCAAGGTCATTATGGCTCAGTTTGTGAGGGGTCTCTACATAATCAAACAGTAGCTGTAAAAATATTTAATGTACAAAATAAACAATACTTTTTAAATGAAAGAGACATCTACACTCTTCCATTTATGGATCATCCATCTCTACCTAAGTTTTTAGGTAAAAAAATATTTTAATTTACAATTTGTCATAAAAAGGTGTTGATAGTTTAAAATTTTTCCTTTGTTTATTAAATAGGTTCAGAAGAAAGAATTGGAAGTGATGGGAAATTAGAATTTCTACTAGTTCTAACCTTTGCACCACTCGGTTGTTTACACGACTATCTTGTTAAAAATGTGATAGATTGGCCTACATTATGCAAAATGGCTCAAACAATAACAAAAGGACTTTCACATCTTCATACTGAAATCAAAAAAGGAGGTATTAATCAATCAATTAAAATTAAATATTTTGATGTAAGTTTTATTATATCACAAATGTATATTTATTAATAGATAAGTTAAAGATGTGCGTTGCTCATCGTGATCTAACTTCACGGAATGTGCTAGTGAAATCTGATGGAAGTTGTATGCTATGTGATTTTGGATTTGGTATTAGAGTGTCTGGATCCAAATATTATCAAAATGGTGAAAAACAAACAGCAGAAACAAGCTCTTTAGCAGATGTAAGTTATCTCTTAAATTTATCATAAGAGAATATAGTACCATAGTAAAATTGTTAATAAGCAATTTAAATCTTAGGTTGGGACGCTACGTTACATGGCTCCTGAAGTATTGGAAGGTGCAGTCAATCTAAGGGACTGTGAATCATCTCTGAAACAAATAGATGTATATGCTTTAGGTTTAGTTCTATGGGAAATAGCCACTAGATGCAGTGATCTATTTCAAGGTAAGTAAAATATATGATTTCTCATATCATTGTTTTATTAATAGAATGATAATACAATTTTAATAACATTTATTAATAAATATCAATAGAAATAAAATTAATTTAAAACTAATAATAGGAATGGAAGTGCCTGACTACAAAGCACCATTTGAGGTAGAAGTAGGGTCACATCCAACAATGGAACAAATGCAAGTTCTTGTTGCTCGTCATAAAGCTAGGCCTTTATTTCCTGACATATGGAAAGATACAAATCCAGTAAATGTCTATTTCTGAATTGATATTTAGTTTAAATTCATGACCAAATAATACTCATTTTAAATATTAAATTAATAATTTTTTTATATTAACTATAACAATGAAGTGTTGATATCAAAAGGTTATTTTTTGTTCAACACTTTTTATAAATTTAAAATTTACAAGTAAATAAAATTTTTTAATTAGGGTTAACAGAAGTTGATTTTAATTGAAATTTTTCAATTAAAATGAAGTGAATCTTATTCTGATATAGTAAAAACAATAAATATATTAATTTTAGGCTGTTAGAGCACTTAAGGAAACAATTGAAGATTGTTGGGATCATGATGCCGAAGCTCGTCTGACCGCATTATGTGCTGAAGAAAGACTTTTAGAATTACCAAATCTTTGGGAAAGACACAAAGGTATAATTATTACAATTATACTGTATTTTTGTCAGTTAACATAAGTTATTATCATCATTAATGAATTCATGAATTAAATGCTTTAATAGTAAATCACTTAATTGCCTACACGTGAAGTTGTATAACCGCAAAATTAGTTTTGTCAGTTTAATAAACCTTATGTTTTTGGCCATATTTAATGACCATCAGCAGCAAAAAGAAAAAAAACTGTTTATTAAACTGAAAATCTTTTCACTTTAATAATCCTATTTTTATGTTTGCTGCTAACAAGGTTGTATGTGGATGATTGAGTGAATATCATTAAACATAAATTAAGTATAAACAATATTATAAGTTTTCATGAAAGAGATATTTAATAGAATTGATAAATATCATTATTAATTGATACTAATTTACAATGCTGGCTCAATGGGTGTCTCAAATGAATGACTTATATGAAGTGCACTAGTCATCTCATAAAAAGTCATGAATTTGTTGCATGTGTATATCTATTCAATTAATTTGAATTTTTGTTTTTATTTAAATTTATATTCCATTTGTAGAATCTTATGATGACCTTTGAAAAATGGCTGAAAACATGTTATTAAATTTTATTTTACTGGATTAAGGTGTGGTTTGGAGTGTTTAATAAGAAAAATAATAAGCCAAATACAGTGAAATCATCTTAAAAATTCTTTAAAGTTGTTTAGAAATAGTTTATACAAGAATTCCAGGGCTAGAAATGCTTTCTATTGACAATCGTTCTGGATGCAGAGGGTGGCAAAATTCAGTTTTGCCTCAGGTGTAAGTTACTAATGAGTTTGCACAGTTAATTTAAAGTCAGATATAGCAAAATAGTTGCATATGACAATATTGGTAGAGAAGTATTTTATTATGAAATAATTAAAGAATTTTTTGAATTTTTTTTATAGCTGGCATGACAGTTCCTGGAGTTAGCCCAACGGTAAATCCTACTTCTAGTGGACATAGTATAGGTATGCATGGAGGTGTACTTTCTTCCTCTTCTAGTAGTCAAGCTACTGCAAGTACAGGGATAACATCTGATTTGAGTGACAGATTTCTTTCACAAGGTGATATTCCTAACAATATTCCTCCAAGAAGTATAGAAAGGGCTAGTAGCATGTCAGAGAATACAGTGGAAACTCTGTTAACAATGTCTCCTTCAGAATCCATACCTTCAGAACTCCATTTTAATAATTCCATTATGAACACAAAAAACAATTTAGCTAATAATAGTGCAAATAAATGTCCACGTTTGACTGTTCCTCTTCAACCTCACCAGGGACGTAATCCCTGCATAGAACGTAACCTAATGATGGAACCTTTAGAAGAAGTGTCAATTAGTGGGAACATGTTACTTGACAGAGGATTGAAATATAAAGAACAGAGACTAACTCAGAATCTTGCTGATCACAATAATGAAACTGATTCTTATGATGTTCAGAACATGATTGATAGTGTTGAAAGTAATGCCTTAGTGACTAGTGATCTGTTAAATCATTCAAGTCGCAACTGTCATCCCATTCCTTATTTACAGAATGATGTTCATTTAACGACCATAATGCCAAAACAACCTAATCTTCCTGGAAATGGTCATCATTTCACAAATGGAAAAGTTGAACAAAAACAGAAAGAGAAATGGTGGAAATCATTTGGTGTATTTGATAGGAAAAAACACAATGGAGCAGAACGATCTGGATTCAAATCTGGACTAAAGAATTTATTTAGAAAAGGAAAATCAGATAATCAACAGACAATACAAAAAAAACCACTAAGTAGTAACAATATTTGTATGCATCAAAACACTACCTCTGAATATTCTCCAGTTGTAAAAGAAATTTATGTCAATAAATTACAAAATTCTACAGAACCTATTGAAACTGAAGTGTGTGTTGTTAATAAAGGACAAAGCTGTAGTACAACTCAAACAATGATACGTCGAGTAACTTCTGTTCTTCCACACGGTTTCCTAGAAAAATCTGCAGAAGTTAAAACAAAACTCTGTTCTGAAAATAATCTAGCTGACTCACAGCCAACAGCTGAAACGGAAAATTTGAGTACTATTGTGATTCATAAAGACATTAATGGAAATTGTAGTAATGACATCCCAAAGAGACCAACCACATTGCCAGTCCAAAGTTACACTGTTAAAAATAATGAGAACAATCTTCAATGTGAACAGCCCATTGATAAGAAAGATATCCAGTTGTCAAGAGGAGGAAGTAGTGGACGACAGAAAATAGTGAAGAGGGTGAAAACTCCTTTTGAAATTAAGAAAGGTAGATTTTCACTTTATGACGATCGCATCATGGTCTCTGAATCAATGCAGGTTAAGCCAATCGAACATCTCGAATTGAATGGTGCTTCCAAAATCTCAGTGTCTCTGCCACTGGATATTGACACACTTTGTGCCTCGCAAGCTGATAGTTTCCTCCAGGAATGTCATCAGACCAAACAGGAAATGGAATAAGAATTCCATGTGTGATATTTTCTCTCTTTAGGAGTATCTTTCTGTTTTTGTCAGATATGTATTTACTATGACAAAAACAGCCATTTGTGTTCCTTCTTTTGAAAATCTGATATTATACTTGATAGAGAATATAGCATTGTGCTTTTAAGATATATGCACAAAGTGCAGAAACTTAGTCAAAGTGCTTCATTTGATGTAATTACTTTTTTTATGCCATATTTTTTTTATTAGATGGCAGCAATTAAATTTTATTGGAAAAGTTATCAAAAGTGCTGCTTTTTTTTGCTGTATATTTGTTCAAGAGTATCATAAAAAAATCAAATAATCTTCAAATGATTTAAGAATAAAAGTGATATTCATTTGTAATACCACTATTTATATATGGTATTTATAACTTCTCTAATTATAAAACTATAATAGGGATAATTGTTGATGAAATTTTAAAAATATTATGCAAAAAATAATAATTTACTTTTGTATACATAGATGTTTAAGTGCAGTATTTAAAACTGTATATATTTTGTTGTTGAAGTAACCATTTGTGTTCAGAAAATCATAGGAAAAACTTAAGATGCAAAAAAAATTTTTGTAGTGTAAAGGTGCAATAGAAAACTTCATTATTAAGAAAAAATTAATGTAACTGTAGTCTTTTTTCTGGAATACCATAGCATTAACAACGTGAAGACTATAGTATCAAGTTGCATCTACTATGCACTTCAATTATATGTGTATTAGTATAGATTATGAAAAAGTGAAGATTTAAAAAGAATTAAAAAATCTTCAAGGTAAATTCCATTTATAATTTTCAGGATGATCAAAAGTGACAAAAAATAAATAAATGAAAATATATAAACATGTGAATAGTGTAATGAGGTTGAACAATAATTTTTCTTCTGTCAAATTTTAACTTGCTTACCTAGTAAATGCTGTATTTTACAAATTAATAATTGTATTTTGTAAAGTTGTTATGGTATAGAGATAAAAATATTCAAAGCAGTGTAACCGGATTAATTTTGGCAAAATATCAGATCAACTAAAGATTTTAGTTGATAACAAAAAATTTTAATGGTGATATTAGATGTAAAAAGTGCAAAAACAAAAAAAAAAAACATTGCTGTGAAAGTTTTGTTACCTGGTCAATTGATTTATGGATTATATATATATATATATATTTTTCGTTTTGTGAAATATGTGATTTATAAGATGCGAATATATTGGCTGCGATATAAAAATGAATGTACAGATTCAGTTGTGAATTACATTGGTAATTCAAAGAATTCATATTTATATTCATCTATAGTCACTTTTTTTTAAATAAATTATGATTATTATGCATAATTAATCATCTTTTATTCTGTTTCCTTAATATCAATTGATATATATTTTTACATATTTTAAAAATCTTTCAAACATCTGAGTACAATTTTCTTTATGTTGTTGCACAAGAAAAAAAGCTATTAAAAATGACAAATTCTGAAATATACTAATAACAGCTCAAAATTCAATTAAGTTAGCAGAATATATGATTTAAGAAAGCTTGAATTTTTTCTACTATAATAAAACAGTAAAAAATGATTTATTGAATGATGAAAATGAATCAAACATATGAAGATGAATTCTAATCAATAATATTCATTATTAAAAATTATATTTAAATCTTAATTGCAGAATTTAATTTCTTTACTAAACAACCAACTAAAGCAACAATCTAATTGAACTTAAATGAAACATTTAAAAAAATAATCTCTGCTACTAAAGACTTTATAGTTAGTTTTGGAAGTTTATAAATTGAGCAAGGTAGAGAATGAGACTACCATGTGATAGACGATGATCATGTTTATGAAATCATTTTGATTTTAGTTAAGCTTATTTAAAGATCCTTAGGAAAGATTTCAATTCTAGAATTAATTAAGACTTTATGAAAACAAAAAAAAATTCAACTACCACATTATATTAAAACTTTCAAATCATATATTTAATAAGTTACAAGGATATAAGCTACCATTATCCATACCAAATGTTAGATATCAGTTAACCAATTGATAAATACCAGATGATCATAATTAAAATACTCATATGACCAGTGGCACACTTAAGATTTAATCTTGGGGGAGCCAAGTTAAACAGATAAAAAAATGCAAATTCTAAAATTTCCACCTTATGTAGCCACTAATTCATAAGTAATATAGATATTGAACATATGACACAATATAAGTAAAAAATGAATTTTAATTAAGAAAATATTTTTGGAAAATTGACTAGTGTTTCTTTTCCTTTTACTTTGGGGTACCAGGGTCCTTTGGGTGTTCCACTATATATGACACTATCTCTTTAGACTAATGAGATATTTAGCAATTCAAATACAGCAAAACCTGATATAGTGAATTTCCATTAAAAAAGAAATTAGTACCGAAACTCACAATTATGGCACTCCTCATTTTTTTTACAAACACTTAGAGTTTGTACAAAATGCACAGGTACCTTAGTAATGCAGGAAATACTGCTCAATGTGGTCCCATTCTGAAAATGATGAACAGTGTGTACTGTACTTTAAAAAGTTTTAAGATATTACAAAATTATAATCGTTTTGTAAATATATAAATCTGGAATTTGTATAATATTGCTACAGAACAAAGAAGGATTTTTCCAGAAATAAAACAAGCTAATTAAACTGATGCTGAAATAAATGCAAGAAAAGAATAAGAAAAATATCTTTCTGTACACTCATTTAAGAGGAGAATAATAATATACATTTTTCAAATGAAAAACAAATCATCATCATCATTTTAAAATTGGAAAATAATCCAGAAACTCCACTATCTAGTACTTCTTTTCTATACATTATTCACAGGATGTTATTTGAGCATTTTCAAATCTAACAATTTGTTATGGAGGCTTCAAAAAACAAACATTCCATTAAAGCATTCTAGTATTTATTTTTTAAAATTGGTGTGGCTCAACCTGATTAGTACATCACCAAACAAAATACACTTAGAATACATGCTGAATATAATAGAACGCTACTATCAAAATATTTCTATTTTATGCTATTAGAAACCAAATTTATTTTTATATAAAGTTTGTTTAATGCTATCTGTAGGGATTATGCCACTAATTGCAAATAATATAACAGCACAAAAAATTCCATCATCATACATAATTTATTTCTGTACTAAAAAAGAAATAGTAAATCCAGATATATTGATATTCTTCAAAAGAAAAAAAAAAGAGATAATACAAAGAACTATATTAATTAATCTTAATTGAAAACTGCTATATTTTCTCTCTGGCATATTTTATCTAAGAATAATAGTTATTATTAAATAAAGCTATGTAACAACTTAGATTATAAAATCTTGTTTTACTTGCAAAAGCATTGTATTTTTATTATAAACAATTGTTTATTCTGATTGTAAACACTGTTTTTTCTGTGAGCTGGTTTCTTTTCTTTCATTCTGTCCTATCTCGCTTTATTTCACCTTCAACCTGAACCCTTCCTAAAACTTTTATTCTTCTTTCTTATTCATGTTTCTTGGGCTATACCAAAGAGTGTGGCCAATAAACAATTCTCAAATGTGAGCTGGTTTGCTCCTTCTCAAAACATAATGGCCCAGTTTCCTTCTTTGGCTATGTACTGACATTCACAGGCATGCAATAAGCATAATATTGATAAAATGTGAATGTATTCTCCTTTCCTCAAGTCATACTCTAGTTCTTGTCTTGTAATCTATTTATAATTCATTTTTAAACTAAAAAAATAACTACTTTATTTGGAAAACTTACACATTATTATACTTTATACATTCAGAATCAAGCGCTTTTGGAGCTGTATGCCATCCTCAGGATTGACTAATCTCTAAAACAATTTGATGATATATAAGTTATCAGAATAAAGCAATTTCTGTTTTTAGTTTGAATTTTTAGAAGTCAGAGTAAAATAATTTATTTTTATTTACCTTTAAGATATTTTAACTTATTCTGTAATAAATAAATTGATATTAAAAAATAAATATTTTATTTTTTAAATAATTAGAATGTCTGTATGTTATGTTCATAAATATTCAAACATAAAAAAGAGTTAGGTATTGTAACTCATAAATATTTGTTATAAAAATATATTAATTGCTAAACTATCGTAAAAGTTCTATTATTTTGTTGCATACAAATTCCAGTTTTTATTAACACATCTTCAGCTTATATTGATAAGATAATTTTTAATGTGAAAGGAATTGCTGAATTTTTTATATTAATTGTTGAGTTTTTCTCTTGTATAAATCCACACTTTTTTATATTTCAAATTCCATTCTAGATTTATCTTACTTAATATAGTAAGTGCGATATAGTATTTCACTAAATATCTATAAAAATACTGATATCTATATCAGTATATTTATAGATATATATTCTTATATATGTATATAAGAATATATACTGATCTATATATATAGATCAGTATATATTCTTATTTAATGTAGCAATTTTTAAACTTATATTTATCAATAAAAATGTTTCATTCAATAAATTATTATACTCCATTAAAATAGAACCAATAATTTTTTTTTTTGCAGTTGGACAAAAAGTTATTTGCTAAAATTTTAGAACCTGAAAGCAATAAAAAATGGGTACAATATGTAACGAAGAAATTTTTAATAAAAATGTATAATTGAAGACATTAATATATATAAAGTTTTATTATTTTATGTTTATTCTTAGTTTGTTATTTCATTTTTTATAAAAGTACAAACTAAAAAACTAATAAAAGTTTCAAATCTAAACAATTCTTACTCAAATTTCATATAGACTATATATACTTTATAAGCAAACATCCATTTATATAATTATATAGACTTATTTATTAAGCAAATCAATATTTAAATATATTAACTTTAGTAAACAAAATAATTTATAACAAGAACTCTTTTATTCAATATATATTATTAATTTTTAATATCATCTTTTCTTAAATCTATTAAATCAAATATTTTCTTTGTATTATTAAAGTATGTATTAATTATAACAGCATTGTATATTGTAGTATATTTACATGTATGTCATTATATATTTATATATAAATGACATTCCAAAATGCTCTTTCCTTCTCCTTAATTAATATAACATTAAATTCCAACAAAAGCAAAATAAACATTTTAAAAGCCTCTTAAATATGTAAATATAAATAATTGGTATTATTTAAAGATAAACATTTAAATTACAAATATAACTTGTTTTCTCTTAATAATTCATTTTATTTATGGCCAAATGTTTTCATTTGAGTTATGAATAAAATACAGCACTAAATACATTTCAATTTAAACTTTTTAATAAATTCAAATTTATATAACAACACATTGCATTGCCTTATATTTTATTCAAAAATAAAGTGTTTATTTTATGTTATTTATATAATAACTAGCAGACCTCGCCAAGCCTTGTGGCTCAAAATGTATCTATTATAAATGTATAACACTTCCCCCGTGGGGGGGATTTTTTGAAAAATTTCTTCTTAGTGTACATTCTGTTGACATACCCTATTAAAACGCAATCAAAAACGCAAAAAACCGCATCTAAAATAGTATAAATAGAAGCAGAGTTCTTTACAGTAAGCCTTCCCCGTAAGGCTTACCGTAAAGAACTGTCCATCTTCCATGTTTAACGGAATAATATACAGCCTATGTCCACCCTGAAGTTCCATTCTAAATATTGGTGAAAAAATTTTTGAAATTGGATGAGTAGTTTCGGAGATTACCTGCTGCATATAAACTTACATACATACTTACAAACATTACCTCTTTATAATATTAGTATAGATTATTCAATACGATAAATTTATTTTATTTTCGAAATAAGCACATTTATTAAAATCTTTCTATATGATAATATAGCTAACTTCAGTTATATAAATTATTTTACATTAATAAAATCATCACCATCATCATCATTAATATGTAAGACATAAGCATTCATTAAAATCTTCCTTTGATATGTTTTATTTAGATGTTGCATTATATAAATTTCACTTTATATTAAATTATAAAACTTTAATGATGCTTGTTTCATTAAATTTTTATATTAAATAGTTTTATATTTCTGATAAATCTTGGTATTTTGAAACAAGTTTCAAAACAACAAGATTTATCAAAAATATAAAAAGAAAATATTGTAATATTCACATGAAAATAAAACCATTAATAGAATAATTGCTCTTCATATACTAAAATTGTTTAATGTATTTATCAAACAAAAAAAAATATAAAGCTTGAACTGAACACAAAAACTACACTAAAATCTTTGATAAATCAGAAGTTTCAATTTAACCAGCTTCAA